TTTGAAGAATTCAAACTCATGCTTGAGATTGGAAAAGACCTGATGGGCAAGCCAGATTCGAGTGAAGTGAAAAAACAGTATTCTAAGAACCAGGGTACAGTCTTACTTGTTTCTATTAAACTGTTATAATTTAAACCATTAAAAAAAAACATAATAAATTGAAGTAAGAGGCAGGAGATCCATCTACGTAAATACAATGTTTTAGCACCTTTTTAGATTTTTTACTCTACTGTTTGGACTTTCCAAACTAAACACATAGTTAAAAACAAATTTCAGACACTATAGCTCGATCCTAGCTGTTGTAATGAAAGAAAAGTGTATAGTAATGTAACACTTTTAATAGTTTTTGTTAAATGTTCTTTCCTTCTGTAGACATAATGTTTAGTTTTCAACATAAGTGCCTGGAAGAACATATACTTGCCTGAGATTTTTATATTGATGACATTTTAAGTTTTCTTGAGCTAATTATAATAACGTATTTTGTTCATCTTGGTGTGTTATTTATTTTTTCTTACATTTAACAGTTTTGTACACATTAAAGGTTAATAGTTTTAAATTGGGAATAAGTATACTAGACGTACTTCCACAGGGTCTCTGAAAGTGTTCTATTTCAAGAGTAAATTAAACCAAAATTAAGAGGAAAAAACACTTTTATTTCTTGCTTTTCAACTTCATATTTCATGCTGTGTTGTAACCTACAGAGTGCATAATTATTCCCCTGATTCATGGTATGCATACGTCTTACTGACATCATGACAGTACAAATTGCAATGTTAACGGTCCCTTATGTGACGTCATTTTAGTATATACTGACTAACTGACAGACAACACACTACTAGTGACACTAAAACATGTGACCCCTCCAGGTGGCCCTTTTGTTTTTGGTGTGGTGTTCAGGGAATACCTGAGAAGTATTATGCTTACTGTGTAGATCAAGGTAGTCCTTAACAAATAGAAGGCTTTCTTTAATGAGAAGTTCAATGACTGTATAACAGTTGTAACGATGATACAACTTGCAATGTAAACCATCCCTTAAAGGTAATCACCCCATCAACTTAACCCTAATTTAACTCTCAACTGCTTCACTGTGGATGTTGCACATTGTTCTCCTTTCAGTTATCAAGCAAACTGTTGTTGATTTTTGCTGAAATTCAAACTTTGATAAGCTTCTTTAAACCTATTGCTATAGGTAAAGAGGGGACAGAGGACATGTCATCACATTTTATTGAACTAGTGTTTTATGAATGTTCGTCAATATATTTGGTCAGGATGACTCAGTTGATTTCTCAAGTAGATATTGCAACTCAGCTAGTGCTGCTCTCTACCCGATATTTTCTGTACTATATCCTCTTGAGTGTTGAGTAGAGAGGATGAGCTGTTTGAATTGTAATTGTTTGTTTCTCGTGTGTGGGTTATTTTGGCCCACCTTACCACTTAAAATAAATATATTTTACCATATAAATTGAGGGATAGCAGCTACCAATTCTTCTAAGATAAAAAAAAAAAATCTGTTTTGTATAATAAACTTCCCTTGATATTTTCATTATATATTTTCAACAAATATGTTTTTAAAATCATTGTACTCTGGAGACAATAAAATCATTATTTTGAGTTTTTTGTTTGTGTTAGTGCGACACATATCTGTACTGGTTAGTATGAAGAATTATAGAGCATTTCTTTCTGTATTTGTATTATTCTAACTGCCAAGAGATTGAATGGTCTGTGGTTTTTGTAAGTGATTTTGTAGTTATTGAAAAGTGTACATTAAATGTGTATTTTTTAATTTTTTCTATATTTGTTTGGTTTCTTTCTTGTATTGGGAACTTCTTTATGGATTATAAATATATTGAATATCTATTCCCAAATTGATTTTCCATTGATATATATTTTCCAGTGATCTTTTTTGTATGCAACACATTTTTTCATACAGTTTATTTATTGGGTTGCCTTCATTCCCGTTGTTGACCATTTATGTAGTGGTTCATTTTGCTTCATTTGAGCTGATATAACTTCTATCATCATCACTATAGAGATCTTACTTCTGTACTGACATACTTTACATACAGCATATTTTCCAAATAGATGGTTGATCTTATAATTTATATTTCTGTTTGTTTTTTGTGTTTCAGCCCAAAACATTTGGCATGCAAGAACAAAAGAGACACGACTGTTGTTATATTTATATTTTTAAGAGTGAATTTCATTAGCAAAAAAAAAAGGATTGATTATTATCAAAATAAACTAAAACTTTTTATCCCTCGTGTTGTTTAGTAGTTTCTTTGTGTTTTCCACTTTTACAGAAAGCATTCTTGGTTACAGTTTTACTTGCAGTTTCTCTTCACGTGTGTGCCCAATGTTCAAAAAAAGAGACTTCTCCAAAAACATTCAAAAAATGTGGAAGGTATATCTTAGTTCCTCAATCTTGTTTTTATGGTAATATTACAGTTTTATATAAGAGAGATTCTAGTATTTCTGTACGTAGTACTTTTTTAAACCATCCACAAGCACATTCTTAACTATATATATGCATTTGTTAATGCAGATATATATGTATAACTAGCCAACGTTTCACCTTGAAAGACCTATATCCTTTATTTCATATTTGTCACGATTCTTATAAAATTGGCCCCCGATGGGACAGTGGTAAGTTCGTGAACTTACAATACTAAAATGGTGGACATAGCAGATAGCCCATTGTGGCTTTACTCTACGAAAAAAAAAGACACGCACACTTACGGAATTACATATCGTTTTGATGAAGGCATTTTTCATATTTTCATCCCACCAGTTATATTTCTCTTGGTGTGGTTTTTGAAGAAGGTAATTTAACTAAAAAATGTAGTTAATTTCTTAACAGGTAGCAGTAAAATTAGTTATCGATTTATCTTGCAAAATTATATAGCAGACACAGCAGGAATGTTTAAACAAAATATTCAAAAACATATTCTGTTGTATGTCTATCTACAAAAAGAAAAATGTTTGTATAAGAATATAATTTGTGAACAGGAATCGGGGTGTATCGGTAGTTTGAAGAAATCGTATGGGTAAATTATCTATTCAGTTTCTTCTCATTTATTATTTACTCTGTATAATACATGTTGGTTAGTAAAGGCAGAGTTTTTGTAGATTGTATATATATCAAATCAATTTATATTTTAAATTTTACAGTTTTTATGATTTTAGTTAATAACTAAACAAACTAGGATTGTTACCTCGTAATAATGAATGGAAAAAAAACATTTTTACACAGGTGCAAAACTGAAAAATTTAAGCTCCCGAGATACTACTGTTCTAGAGAATGTCAAAGTAAGTGAGATTTTAATAATATTATTTTTGTTAAAAGTCCTATATGGAAAATGTATATCTAAATGTGCTGAAGGCTTTGATAAATATATTTTAAATGTATTGCATCTGCAATGGCAGTATTAATGCTAAAATGTATGTCCAAATGTAATCATCTCAATACCCTATTTAATGTCACGTTGTAATTTGAAGAAATATATTTTAGTGGTATCTAGACACAGAAGATAGAAAGATTATTCCACTGTCTGTTTATTCTTTTAATCAACTTTATTATTACGTCATTATGTATGTATATGTATAAAATCACTACTACTACATTCAAGGTATCAGAATAATCCCTGTTTATAAGTCTAACTTAATTTTTTAAAGTTTCTTTTACAATCATCAAAATTTGCGTAGTATAAATGTTTTTTATTATTATTTTATTAAATACGGAAAGTTACGCTTTGTATAGATTAGGTGTTTCAAACATCTTCTAAAGAATGTGTATCCATCATCCACTCTCATCTAATGATGTTACTCCTAAAAATTTATGTTATACATAAGCATCCCTTGATTGAAATTGTATGGTTACACAATGATTTCAAGTCTCTTCGATCTTAAGATTTTTTTTGTCATTCCATTAAAATGATTTTTACTTCTACGCAGTTGAAGACTGGGAAGAAAGTCATCGGGATGAACACAATCGAGCTATGCCTGAAAATTCCTAAATGTTGTACAGTTTCTTCCTATACATTCCAGTTTTTAGCGTGGGACTTACCTTACTCAACAGAAACCTCTAGCTTATGAAAGTGTTATGGTTTGGAATTCAAGAACTGGCAAGGAATAATCAAACAACCTCCAATAAATTGTTCTTCTTATAAGTAGAAAATAACGGCCTTATTCATCATCTCATAAATGAATGTAGATGAGTGGTTTATATATATTTCTTTATCTAGTAAGTCACATCAGATTTATCCTTTATTTTGTGTTCATTTAAAAACTTTCAGTAGACAGGACTCTTCAGATTTACATCTACTACAATAATGGGTGAAAGAACTTCAAAAGATCTTTTATACGACATCAGTAGTCCTTGAAAGTTAAAAAATAGCTAATAGTGTACAACATAATTATTTAGTACTTTTTTATTTGATCAATGTAAATTAGCGGTTATGCTGGTTTAATGTTTGTCAAGTTTTCAAACACGAGCTATTGGTATATTTTTAAATCCTCTAAGACTATTCTCAGCAATTAATTGTGGTTCAAAGACCACCTAATAGTTGAAATGATTGAAAAGGTACTTATAAACTTTACTGTGAAACTTATAATAAAACATTAGGACAATAAATGTATTTAGGATCTAATAAATGTATAAGAAATTAAGTATTATAACGTATTATTAAGTATTCTAAGACTATTCTCAACAATTAATTGTGGTTCAAAGACCACCTAATAGTTGAAATGATTGAAAAGGTACATATAAACTTTACTGTGAAACTTATAATAAAACATTAGGACAATAAATGTATTTAGGATCTAATAAATGTATAAGAAATTAACTATTATAATGACGTAACCAAGTAGTGGTCAGATACGTTGTTTTTGTATCCCCACATCGGTTATATCTTTCAAATTATACTACCAATTGCTTAACTACATGTATGAGTAAGAAAATGGTAGAAATGAGGTTTTCCTCACATTGAGTGATTAGTTATATTTGTGAATAGGAAGATTTGTGAAGTTCATGTGAGGATGCTTTGTTTGCTTAAGAAAGGAAGGATAAGAATTAAGCTCATCTTAATTCTATCTGAATGAAACTACACGACATTGAAATCATCCTTCGAACGTGATTAATTAGACTCTGTATCTTCAAAACATTTTAATGGTATGTAAACATTAATGACAAAAACCTACAACTGTTTTAAAATGGTACTGAATATATATATATATTTCCGCATTCTAAACAGGAAGATGAAGAGACACCAGTTTACTAAATCTATCTGGAAAGCTGAATTGTCCCAACCATTAGTAATAGTTTAATAAGTACATTCAGAAAACTACGAAGACAATATTGCCCATGCTTTTGTATTTGATTAAAGTATCGTGTCGTTCTGGAGAGTGATGGCAATTATTAAACGTAAGATACGTTTAATAAACCGAGAATCAAATCCCTTATTTCAAACATGTCGATTGAAGTACTCTTTAAGTTTTGTGCAAGTTCACTAAGATAATTTTTAACAATTGTCTGACAACAATTGTTTTAAACATATTTCTTTGCTGACAAAAAAAGGACTAGAACTGATATACCTAACCATCAAATTTGCCAGAATGGCCGAAACAAATTTAAACTACACCTAACGAACAAATATTGTACCAGATTCTCGACCAAAAATGATCCGAGGGTTTCGATTTTTATCATCATTTGTTTTAATATAAAAGTGTTTTTCAACTAAACTTTTGCCACTGTTTCTACACATTATTACTTTTATGGACTATTTCTGGTTGTTATTTTTTATATAATTATACGTGCTCTCTATTTTTAGGCCCATCGTGTTTGATGTAATCTTATGTTGTTTTTTCATTTCAGTCATATTTTGTTCTCAAGATATCTTCATAGAATTATCACGGAACGTAAAAAAATTTCTATATTTTAATGTTGAAAGCTTTGCATAAACGATAAACGTTATTACATCTGATTGAGTAACAGAAGTTTTGTTTTAAATAAAAAATGTCACACAGACAAAGAACTCTGAGTAATCTTAAACCAAAATGACAGATACGCAATAAGTATTATTACTCGAACCAAATGATTTTGTTTTTAATAACTTGCAACTGCATACACTGGAGAAATCAATTCTGTGGATAAAACAAACACAACAACAATTTCTACAGCAAATATATCAAGTTCCAGACCAACTACGAAGTTTACGATCTTATTTGTTTCGGCCATTCTGGCAAATTTTACGGTTAGGTATATCAGTTCTAGTCCTTTTTTTAACTACGAAGTTTACGATCTTATTTGTTTCGGCCATTCTGGCAAATTTTATGCTCAGGTATATCAATTCTACTCTCTTTTTTTTCGACTAATTTCTAATTAGGATTTTTGGTTATTTGAATCCAATTACTTAACATAAATTAACCCACAGACAACAATGGCGCATTTGACCCTTGAAGGCTTTCCGTGCACACCCATCTTTGAGAAAAGCAAAATTTTAAAGCCACCATTTATTTTTAAGGAAATTCACGTTGATTCCTATTTTTAAATTCCTATGAAGTGCTTGTCTGCACTACTGAGGATGACAGCTCAATCTATAACCCAATTACCCTGTTAAAAAATGAAATCCTTAACTGGAGCCTAGGCTGTCTTTTTTCCAAATCTTAAATTTGTGTTTCCTGGTTCTGTTGTTTTCAGAATGTAGTACAAAGGAATCGGAAGATTTCATACCATCGATCCTCCAGACAATCTTATAAACTTTAATAGGATCACCTGTTACCGTTCGTATCTCGAGAGAACTTAAGATAAAAGATGATAACGTGACCATGTAAGCTTGACGGTTAAATCTCGCTACTCAATAAGAGTAACTCGCGAGTTGTCGGTGGGTATATTGACTTCTCTTTACTGAATTTAGTCTATCGACTCAAAATTCGGGTCGGCTAGCATAGATAGCCCACAAATAGTTTTGCGAGAAATTCAACAAACAACAATCATCGTAGATTGTGAGGTCTATTTTTAGTTGAATATTTAACTGAAACAAGCCCGAAAAAATAATGTGGATAAGAAGAAAAAAAATTCATTTTACTTGAATAAGGTTTGTTTGTAGCTAAGCACAAAGCTACACAATGGGCTTTCTGAGCTATACCAGGGATATCTACGCTAGTCGCCCTTGATTTTTGAAATGCTACGCTACATTGAAGGCAGCTAGCTAAAAACACCCACCCAACCTAATAGAATAGCAGGACTTGACAGTTACTCTTATAACGCACCCACGGCCCCAAAATGCGGAACGTGATTTTGCTGTAGCGGAAGGCGAACCATGGACTTTCAGATTAATAATTAGGCACGTGCATCCCTAAAAGTAAATGAACAGTCTCATAATTACCCTGTTTCCAACTTACGGTTAGGACACTGGCAACATGCCATCTTTTCAATTGAATCCTAATTCCGGCTTGTTAGAGCTGATGGTAGGATTCATGTTCGTCGTTTGCCTGGAGAACAGACGAGAGAAAATTTATCTTTCCCACAGGGAACACACAGGAGGAGGTGCAGTACATATTTGGGCAGCTATTCATCATAGTAGAAAAACTGCTCTTCTTATCCTCCAGGGAAAGGTCAATGGCGCCTCCTACAGGCATTATATGGAGACGATATTTCTGCCATATGTTCGGGCAAGGTTTGGTAATAACTTCGTGTTCCAGGATGACGGTGCCACTGCTCACAGAGTGCATATTGTACACGATTATCTCGACCAGGAAGACATTACAAGATTCCCCTGGCCAGCAAAGTCTCCAGATTGTAATTCCATTGAGAACTGTTGGGCAGAACCTGAGCTTCTAGTGACAAGTTGGGATGAAATCACGGTGGATTACATCAATAACCTTATCTACAGCATGCCACTCGTCTTGCGGAGATTATTAGAGTACGAGGAAGATTAACCAATTACTGAATGTTTAACATAACTGATTTGAGGATACAGACGCTATTTTTAATAACTTGATGTTATATTTTGTCATTATATATGCTTTGGTAAGGTTTTGTTCTGATAGGTGAAATGCTGAATTACACATCTTTCTACAGGTGTCTGATAAAATTTTGCTGTTCTAATAAATCGTTTATAATGTCTATAGAACTTGTTTCATTATACAAATTACATATGTAAATGCTTAGCACTGGCCCGGCATGGCCAGGTGGTTAAGGCACTCGACTTGCAATCTGCGGGTCGCGGGTTCGAATCCCTGTCACACCAAACATGCTCGTCCTTTCAGCCGTGGAGGCGTTATAATGTGACGGTCAATCCCACTATTCGTTGGTAAAAGAGTAGCCCAAGAGTTAGCGGTGGGTGGTGATGACTAGCTGCCTTCCCTCTAGTCTTACACTGCTAAATTAGGGACGGCTAGCGCAGATAGCCCTCGTGTAGCTTTGCGCGAAATTCAAAAACAAACAAACAAACTTAGCACTGTCAAACTGAGAAATGCATGTTGTATGGAATCTATTTGTATTCCATCTAAATGATAATGATCTTATTTGTTTCAAAATATGCAAACATTTTGGCCAAGACTGTAGCAACTATGTAAAGAATCAATTACCTTTATATCCGATGGATCAGATTTATATTTCCGGACTTACGATACTAAGATACCAAGTTCGTTTCCCCGCGATGTGTAGAGTACTGGTAGGCTAATGAAAAAAAAATATCAACCATCTTTCAATTACCAGTGATGTGTTTATTTTTTATATCCTATTATATATGGCCAATTTTGATACGTCAAAAGCGCTGCAATCGCTTTCTTTATAACATTTTAGAACTTGAATTTTATGTTAATCATAATTTGTAATTAATGAATTATGTTATTGTTTGTGGTTGAACACAGAGTTGCACAATGAACTATCTGTGTTATGCCCAACACGGGTATCGAAACCCGGTTTTTAGTGTTACAGGTCTTTAGACTTACCACCGTGCCATTGGAGGGCAAACTAAGAAATATAGATTTCGAGAATTTATTAGAAAGTCCCCCCCCCCCTGTGGGACAGCGCTAAGTCTTAGAATTTACAACACTAAAAACCAAGGGTTCGATTCCCCTCGGTGGACACAGCAGATAGCCCGATGTGGTTTTGCTATAACAAAACACACATTTGTTAGAAAAAATATATATAAAAATTTTACGGACCTTTAATCCTAAGTGAACGAACTCGCATGCATAAAATAATCACGAAATTGACGAAAAACTTTATTTACAAAACAGAATATTATTTTTAAGTAAAGCATCGCACTGAAATATACGAAATTTTTACCCACGTGTTTATACACTTCAGCAACAAGCATGACTGGAACTTCCATCCCGTGAGGCCCGGCATGGCCAGGTGGTTACGGCACTCGACTCGCAATCTCAGGGTCGCGGGTTCGAATCCCCGTCACACCAAACATGCTCGCCCTTTCAGCCGTGGGGGCGTTATAATGTGACGGTCAATCCCACTATTCGTTGGTAAAAGAGTAGCCCATGAGTTGGCGGTGGGTGGTGATGACTAGCTGCCTTCCCTCTAGTCTTACACTGCTAAATTAGGGACGGCTAGCGCAGATAGCCCTCGTGTAGCTTTTCGCGAAATTCAAAAACAAACAAACAATCCATCCCGTGAATCCAGCTCTTCTACAGTGAGAGAGTATGCTTCATGATTTCATTTTAACTGGTGGAAAGGACCTGTTTAGTTTTCTTTAGGAAAAATTAATACGCACCATCCGGAACAAATGTTCTTTACATCATCCTACGTTAGTAGAGGTCAAGGTCAGTGACAGCGCTGGAAGTACTGACCACTGCTTTCATGCTTGATGGCATGAGAGGAAATGGGCGATTCCACATGGTGGAGAGAAGCAGAACTGCTTATAATAGATGTAACATTTGTACGGAAACTTTCGCTGGTTGACGATCCCATTCTTTCAGTTTCCTCGGGCGAATTTCGCGCTCATCCATCTGAACGAAGACAATCATCTTATGGTTGAAAATTACACAGCCTTCATTGATTATAGTGACAGCAGTGTTCCTCT